TGGGTAACCTGCTCACAGGTTTATGATGGGTAACCTACTCACAGGTTTATGGTGGGTAACCTGCTCACAGGTTTATGGTGGGTAACCTGCTCACATGCTTTTTGCACTACCGCTCACAGAATAAGTATGGGGTGCACAATAAACTAGCTGCCTCCGGCGGCAACAATCAATCCAATGCTCTGTGTAGTGAAAAGGGCAATTTAAACCGGGAGGATATTGAGATAGGAGGGAGATCACTATGTGCAGTATAAACAAACCAATTATCAGAGTATGGCTATTACCTAAAAACCATACTGCTATTGCTCAGGTGAATGGAATGGTTATTACCTGGTCTGACAACATATTAACACAATCATATTACCATAGCAAGTATTCAAATGAATTAACCTTGTTCCCATTGAATGAATTGTTTATAATGAGAGCCTAAGTGAAGGACACCAATGGTTGTAGTCACAAGAGTCAGGGCTGGTTGACTACAGCTTGGCTCCACAACCAACAAATTACACGAACAAATTCACAAGGGGCCGTGACGAGGGTTCGAACAAAAGGCGTAACAAATTACACCTTTAGACTCGATGAAGAAAGGTGGCACATGTTTATTTATGTTAGAATTTGATATTAGCAAAATTTGAAGCTACGAGGGACAGTTAAATGCAATTATCAAATTACTCTCGCAGTCTGTCAAATGAATTACTGCCTGGCCTAACAGGTATCCTTTGGAGACTAATAATATTGATGAGCACTATTATGGGTAGCAGGGTACAAGTAACTGAGCAGTAGTATGGCTAATTCTTGGTTGTACAGTAGGTCATATTCTGCTGGACTTTCTGGTTTTCTATCTCTATTTCTGCTGTACTTGTATCAGTATCTTTAGTAAGTAATTAACTGGTGGTGTTGTATTTCAGAGTGTGGGACTAAGGTGGTGGTCGGGGGCACGGAAGCGGTGTACTGGGCAGTGCAGCTCGACGCCGACCTCCTGGAGACCATCGCCGCCATCTATCCTCACTGGTTTAAGGTAAACTATCTATTCATACTTAAGACAAACAAACAATTCAATATTGTTGTAAACTATATAGCTTTTTACACAGGAGCTGTATATATTGTATATCATATTCTTGGGAATTTCCCTTCCAAAATGGGTGCTCTGATAGATACTGTACTTAAATACTGTATTTTTATATGTTGGAGACTTGATTGAGTGCTCCCGATGGTAGTTTGGCTGAGAGACAAGTGAGCTTAAGCCCTCTTCTTTGTACTGAGGAACAAGAATGTGATGAAGGTAGTCAGACTGCCACACCAAGCACATACTGCAGGAACACTACAAATGCTGCTCAAGTACTATTGCTCTTTTTCTCTCTATCAACCAGCTAGTATATCTAGCTGCTTCCTGAGAAGTAGCCACTTTCGTGGCAACTTCCTTTATTGCATATAAAGGAAATTGATATAGATATACAGTGGGGCCTCGATTTACGATGGTAATCCGTTCCCAGAGATGGATCGTAAGTCGAAATATCGTAAGTCGAAGCGATTTTTCCCATAAAAAATAAAGGGAATTGAATTAATCCGTTCCCCACCCTCCAAAATATTAACTTACAAATACATTTTATACTGAATACAAATTTGTTCTCTAACTACAATATAGTACATATGTTTATCATACCTTTTTGGAGGACTCTTGATGGTGTATGGAAGATGGTGATGAGGGGGGAGGAGGAGAGGTGTTACTGTTTGGAAGGGGAGTCCCCTTCCATTATAACATAAGGCAGTGATGACTTTTCTGGGATACACTCTCTGCCATGTTTTGCCTGCATACCACTAGAATCTGCTTGTGGCTCACTGCTTGCTTGCCTTACTAAGAATCTGTCCAAAAACACTTGTTTTTCCCTACATTTCAACACTTGTCTGTATTAAGACATCACATTGTCATTTAAAAGGTCAATGCAACGGCCTGCTACAGCTTTATCTGGGTGAGTTTTTTCAACAAAATTTTGCAGTTCTCCCCATACTTCAAAACATTTTCTTAATGAGGAAGGAATATCCTCTACTGTCTCAACTCGCAACTATTTTCTTAGGTTGAACCTTACCACTGACTTTCTGGGACCCATGGCGTGATATATAATAATCAGTTTTATGTTCAAAAGCAAAAAAAAACAAAAAAACGGAATTTCTTATAGGCGTGATCGTCACTAAGCGAGCAGCTCTAGTAAACTGAGGCAGGTTGGCCCGCGTGACCGGGAACCACGCACTGGGTCGACCCAAACGTGTACCAATAAATATCGTAAGTCGAGGTGCCACTGTACTATCTATATATAAATATATATAGATATAACTAAAGGTTTTTTTTCTAAACAAATCTGCAAATGAGGGTTGTATTGTAGAAGTCCCCTCAACAGATACTTTACCATCACCCTGAGGGATGGTTAACATCTGGTAATAAGTAGGATTCTCTTTCAGGCTTTTATTTCCTCTTTTGCTGCCTTCAGCTCATCCTGCAGTTTATTTACAGTACTTTCTCCCACATTACTCTCATTTCTTCACTAATTTGCTTCCACATGTGGGCAGTTACCTCCTCAATCGAGTCATTGTGCCCAAGTGAGCTTGTGTGTGCACTCACATAGTTGTGTTTGCAAAGGTTGTGTTACAAATCTCTGGTTCTGCCTCTCATCCTTCAGGCAACTGGTGTACAGGCTTCTGAGTCCTTTAGGCTCTTATCATATTATCATTTAAAGCTAGGTATTGAGTCTACCTCCACCACTTCACTTCTTAGTACACACCCTTTAGTTACTATTCTGATGCTGGAAATTTACTTTTGAAAGAGACCCTGTCTGCCTTAGCTCTTTCCCAGGAACTTTTGATATCGTTCGCCTTATGCATTTCTGTTCTCGTATTGACATCCTTGATGATATTTAGCACCCCACTGATTATTCCGCACATTTGATGGTGCTACATAGCCTTCCCGGTTTGGTGCCTTCTTTTGATAATTACTTACTTACTTCTTTCACCCTGATGCCCCTGTTACCTAGCAGTAAATAGGTACCTGGAAGTTAGACAGCTGCTATGGGCTGCTTCCTGGGGGAAAGGGGGGTTGTAACAAAAAGGAAGCCTGATCGAGGACCGGGCCGTGGGGACGCTAAGCCCCGAAATCATCTCAAGATAACCTCAAGATAACCTCCAGAATTAAACTCAAGTAACCACTTTTCTGGACAATACTTTAAGTTTTGACAAGTCATCCTGTAGTTTCTTTTAGTCTTTCAATGTACTTTACAGTACTTATCCTCCTTCCTAATCTTTGCATTATCAGTAAACAATGTGAGAGAGGAGTCTATCCTCTCCAACAAGTCAGTTACACAGATCAGGAAGATGATTGACCCTATTCATCTCTGTGGGATCCCACTCATAAGATCCCACCCCCTATCCCAGCTCATATCCTATCCACGTATTCTTTCCATGTGCTATATAGTCATATAGTATTAGTTTAGTGTTCTCTATTTATAATCTGCTTTCCTTTCTTGAGGTTTCTCTTCTGTGACTGTCTTCCTTTGCTTATGTACTTCTTTATCCAGTGGAAGACCTTCTTAGAGATCAGAAACATGCACGCTGCCCATCCATCTCTTGTTCGATCTATCTTATATGGTCATAGAATTCTATCATGTCTTTGAGGAAACATTTTACCTTTGCTACTGTCTCCTACATAAAATATGATATAACATGATTTTCATGTTAATTGTTGTCAATAGATACAATTTAAATTATGTTGTTAAATATGAATTGGGAATAAAATTGCTGTATTGTGAAGAAAAAATTTCTTACAATCTTAATTCCTTCACTATTTGATAATTGGGATGGAATTGGTTTGTATTTATTGCTAGATATTTTAATTCGTGAAATGTAATTTATTAAATGTAAGTACAGTACTGTATTGCATACTCTTAAACAGGTGCCCAGAAAAAGACATTGTTTTAGATCTAACTGTATCATCAATTTCTCTTTCAAGCAGCCAATGTCTGTATACCATACAGTAATGAAGTTCAAGTTGGTAAGCATAACCTCTTGTTTGCACAGTATTCCTGTATACAAAGGGATATCATATACTGTACACTATATATTCTGGGGTGTTGTGATGTGACAACACAGGTGGGGCTACAACTCCATTGCATTTGTATACTGTAGTAATAATTTATGATATTGTAAACTTATTCCATGTATTTTATTTGTATTATGGTGCATAGAGTGTTAAGGTAATAATTAATGCAAGAAAATTATATACAGGTATATATATATATATATATATATATATGCGAACAAGCCTGAATGGTCCCCAGGACATATGCAACTGAAAAACTCACACCCCAGAATTGACTCGAACCCATACTCCCAGAAGCAACGCATCTGGTATGTACAAGACGCCTTAATCCACTTGACCATCACGACCGGACATAATGAGGTGATAGCCGAGGCTATTTGAACCACCCCACCGCCGGCACTCGGATAGTTATCTTGGGCATTTATCTTTGGTAAAATGCTATGCCCAAGATAACTATCCGAGTGCCGGCGGTGGGGTGGTTCAAATAGCCTCGGCTATCACCTCATTATGTCCGGTCGTGATGGTCAAGTGGATTAAGGCGTCTTGTACATACCAGATGCGTTGCTTCTGGGAGTATGGGTTCGAGTCACTTCTGGGGTGTGAGTTTTCAGTTATATATATATATATATATATATATATATATATATATATATATATATATATATTTTTTTATTTATTTATTTATTTAGTATATATGGTATATATGGTACAGTCAAGCCTGGCTCCAGGCTGGGCTCTGAGTAAAAGAACTCTCAAAACCTTCTCCAGGTATGCCTCAAGTAAACTGTACAAGCAATTTGGCTACTCAGAAGAATTCAAATTAAGCACGAATGTTATTTCGTTCAAAGCAAAAAATGTTAATTTTGTCCTGTACAGTATTCACTTTTTTTTAAATTTGTTGATACAAATTGTTTATTTTCCAGGATTGCAATTTGAACGACCTAAGCAAGATGGCAGACAGTAGTAATGGGGAGGGGTCTCGGGCTCCCTTCATTCCTCTGTCTCCACCCAAGTGTGAGGTAGATGACTCCCCACTTCAGGGCAAGACTCTCAACAAAAACAAAGAGTGTAAGTTTCATTTAAAACCAGTTTTGATTTGTTTAGAGGCCCCCCCCCCCTCTGAATCACCCCAAACTATCAAGGTCCAACTGCTAGGTAGCTCCCTCTCTCAAATGGAAATTGGGGACAAATGGAATGAGCTACAAAGTGAAGTGCTGAGGGCAGGGACCAATAGGCTCAAGAACCTGTACACCACTCACTCACTCACTCACTCACTCACTCACTCACTCACTCACTCACTCACTCACTCACTCACTCACTCACTCACTCACTCACTCACTCACTCACTCACTCACTCACTCATTTACTCACTCACTCACTCACTCTTGGAGTGAGTGAGTGAGTTAACTCATGGACCCCGGCGTCCAAGAATTTACAGCTTGATCCTGCAAGCACAAATAGTAAATACCAATAGTAATTACACACACGCACACACTCACGCATTCAAAATAAATCGCACCACAAGTTCACACCCAATGATGATTTTTACAATAAAAAATTAATAGTATAGTAAAATTTTATATTTTTAGGTTTAAAAGATGAATATTTTGGAATATAGTTATGTAATGCGGTATAGTAGGTGTAAATTACAGATTAAAATTTTGGTGTTAGATATTGAGGTTGGTGTAATCTGCCTTGCTTCCTGTGGTCTCGGCCACTCAGTCTCATACGACAGTGTCTCTCTTGCTTCATGTAGTCACTATTGCCACCTGACACAAACTAGTACTGTACTTACAAGTTTTGTGACAATCGTTTTAGTGTATTTGAGAAAAGCAGTGTGTGTGTACTTTGTATGATTAGAAATGTAAATAAATTACTAATTAAATTTTGTTATTGGACTTGCAACTGTAATGTTATGTAAATAGTGAGATGTTATCAAAAGCAAGGCAGCTCCCTTTAAATACTTTGTTGTACATGTTGCTACAAGTGTCAAATATAAAATTGTTTTGTAGCATGTAAGTCCTCAGAATATTTTAAACATTTGCAGCTGCATTGTAATATTTACTACAGAAAAAAGATACTGTATTCTTATGTAAATATGGTGAGCCTCTGGGGGTTGGTGTATGAACCCCTCAACAGGTGTCCTCAAAATAGATCTGGCATTTCTTTGCCTCAACCATACAATACTGGTAAGAATTTCCACTTGCAAATGATGTACAGTACTGCAATTTGTTTAAAACATTTTACCCAAAAGGGATATAGCACGTTGATAGTGAGATTGGAAGGTTATAGTGTCACAAAACTGTTTTAATCATTCATCCCATTACTCATATTCTAATGCAGAATGTTTTTGTATCTGACTTTAATACATTTTTTAAGCTCTCTACGTGCTCGATCTTCTCTTTGATCTCAAGTGTTGGTTATCTCTCTAAACACCAGTACAGTACAGTATAAGTTCTATAGAGCCTGGTAATTCTTCATTCTTACCTTACTCATGTTTGTCAATTTCATTTCATGATTTTCATGATTAAATGTATGCTTCATTGCTCAGAAAGTTTCCAAAACTTGTCAAAGGATGGGTTATAGAGTCCTGGACGTTTTTAGTTCCCTGATTTTCTTTTACTTTTAGTAAATGGTTTTATATGGAAATTCTTGAATTTGAAGTTAACGTTATTGCTTGTGCTTCTTTAAATAGATAATTTCATTTCATAGAGAATTTGTTAGTGCCATATAGTAATATTTATTCTTTTTTTCAGCTCTGAAAGTGAAGCTAATGTTACGGCGACCAAGGGAAGACCTTGTGAACCGTGGAGTCATCCCTCGTGAGTATTCTCTCACTGTTGCCAGTCTTGTATATCCATCACTGCAAGAAAAGATTTGGATCATGTTCATATTATTCAGTTAATCTAATTTTATTTATAAAGTATCATGTGTTATTTTGATGTGCTTAAATTTCACAGCAATGAACACCCCGACTGCATTCTATGAGCAGCGACAAAAATTGGATATGGCCAAAAAACATGACATCCTCAAACAGAAAATGCAGCGGCGACCTGACCGAGAGGAACTGGTTCGACAACACATCCTGGAGGGTTAGTAGCTAGAAGTAGTATTCCTGAAGGTACTCATGTTTATCTCTTCATGCCAATTACAGTAAAGTATTATACCTCAGTCAAAGCAGAATGATACATCAAGCAGATTCTTCCCTTTGGATTGGCTATCGTAAGACTGATTGTGTTAAATGTGTGATTGATAACACACATTAAGAATAATGTGTATTCACTGTATATGTGGTTGAGGTCAAGATAAGAATATTTGAAAATGGTATTAACCTAGAGTACTTGTCTGAAATGAGTTAGTATTAGATATACAGTATGATAGTAATTGGGTATATACAAATATACAATTCCTTTAGCAGAGTGATTAAGATTTATGTAGACAGATTTATAAGAGTACAGTACTGTATTTATGTTTGTGAATGAAGATTGTTAAAAGTAAATGTGAGCAAAAGTAGTTATGTGAGTTAAAAGAGAAGTGAAATAAATATAAATGGTGGTCAATCCATTTAAATTCCTGGGATGCATAGACGAGAAGAGCTAAATTTGTATAAAGCTGACCATTCGGTGGGCCAAGAAGGCAAGTGGTAGTGCAATGAATTTCCATGCTTACAAAAAATAAGATAGAAATAGATGCAGGTAGTCTGCATGAAGAAGTGGTGGTGTGCAATAAAAGGTAAAAATCAATAATTAGAACAATAGAAATGAGAAGCATGTGTGAAGTTAAAATTATAGAGAAAGGAATGAAAATTTCATGGTGAGATCTTGATAAACTGCAAGATTGAGAATATACTAAGATGGTTTGGCCATATTGAATAAATGGATGATGGTAGACTGATGAAGAGTGCATTCATGGTGAATGTGTGAGGAAGCTAGCAGTTGAGTTAAACAGTACATGGGATATGGTAAGGGAACAAGTGTGAGTGGAAACCATTTATAAAAAGTGAGTAAATGTACAGTATTTGTATATACAGTAGACTAAAACAGTATATACTGCATATATTTAACAAATCATGAAGAGCACTGTACACCAGGTACCTAGTCTTACGAAGCAGTGGGGTGCTACGGTGGGTGACTGCTGAAGTATGGTGTTGCTGGTTTATCCGAGCTGCTATATAGCACGAACGATATAACAAATGTATGAGTGATATTTACATTGTCTAATATCTATAACTGTCTTTCATTAGATAATTTACCCTTTTCTCTGGGCTAATGCACCTCCACATCCTATGAAAGTGGAAAATGGTGTAATTATTATGAATAAATAAACAAATGCTTAATTAATATTTTTTGCTTATTATATACAGGTATATGTAACATTTCAGTGCATATATTGTTGTAACTTAAAATTGGTTTTCTTTGTGAACTGTTTAAATTTGTCAGAATTTTTTGTTAAAAATAATTCATGAACATTCAGCAGAAGTATTTTTTAATTGTTAACCTGCAGATGCACCTGGAAATATTGATCCTTCATTGGTGGAAAAGCAGAAACAGTTGAAACGAGCCAGGATAGCTGATGCCATTAGTGACCACCTGTGCCAACGACCAGGCCCCCTTGAACTTGTTAGAGCCAATATTCTTCACACTACAGAAGATCTCGAGAAAGCTGTTAAGGGTAAGAATTGTTTTACTCTTATTCTTAATATTTTAACTATTTGTTATGTTGAGGATTATGTTTGGTGTTTAATGAAAAAAATACAGACGGAAATGAAGTAAAGTCCACAAATGTATGGTTAAACTATTATTGTCTTGTATATATCTATTTTTAGTTTAGTATTACTGTGATATTTTATTTGCACTTTAGTATTTTATTGGTTATGTTTCAGACAAAAAATATTAATACATTTGCAAGTCATCAAAGGTTTTTCATAGCATTAAATTTTTAGTTGATATTGTCTGAATTTAATATTTGTCACCAATGATTTAATATACACTATTTAGATTTGTTCATAAGAAACAGATCAACAGGTTATTGATACACATTTCCTTTGATAGAGGGGCAGTTGATGTTCAAGAGTACTAGCGAAGGAGAACCCCGAAAACATCCAAGTTTATATGTACAATATGAAGATGAATCAAGTAGTGAGGGTGCAATGTCCCCAGACCAAAGTGAGGCTAGCAATGCTGCTGGTGTACGAGAGCTTCTCTCAGCAAGCCCAATCCTTTTGGAAGCCACCACTATTACTACAGTTACAGCTCCAGCAGCAGTAATAGCCCCACCACCACCACCACCACCACCAATTGCACCTGCAGTATCTGCACCCATCAGTTGCGTGCCCGATGTTGCAGCTGCATCTCCATCATTGACCTCTACCACCTCATCATTATCCCCATCATCATCTTTGGCATCTCCCCAACATCCACTCTTACCGTCCCCGCAAGCCCCTGCTTTAACTCAAACTCTGTTTGTGACTCGGACACCCCTTCCACATGCCCTCACTACACCACCTCTACAAAATTCTGCTCCAGGAAAAGACCAATCAAAGAGCAGGAAAAAATCAAAGGGAAAGAGTCAACCTAAAACAAGAACAATCAAGTTTCATGAATACAAGGTTAGGATTTTTTAACTTTTATCAATACTGTTCAGTATCATCATATATCTATTATTTAAAAGCCTTGATACATGTTTGCATGTTTAAAGATTAATACAAATACAATACTAAAGATAGCAATATGTAATTGGATTAGTTTTTGTTAAAGTTATCACATGGTATTTTCATACAGGGTCCTCCAAGTGCTGTGAAGCGTGAATCTAACACAAGCCACTCAGAGACATCATATGATATACTGCTCCAGCAACAGCAGCTTTTCCTCCAGTGTCAACTTGAGCTCAAGCAAAAGGTATGTACAGGTTCTTGTGTTGCCGATGTTCACCAGAGGCACTGTGGAGTAGCATAGTCATGTGTATTATGGTCAACTCTTCATATATATATTAAATACGGTAATAAAATGTCCTAATGTTAAAAGTAAACTCTTCTGTTATGGCATAACTTTAAAAGTTCTTGAGCTATTAAAACTGCAGTAAATTAACTCTAGTGAAATGATTGAAATTAAAATACTATGTGATATTGCTTTTTGTCGTAATTATGGCACCCTTATTTTCAGTTACAGTAAATTTATCTTGCATAATCTGCAAGACAAATAAATTAATAGTTTGACAGTGCTCAATTGGCTTATTTCCTTACACCTACTTACATCTCCATTACTTTTTTAAATTATTTTACACCTATTTAACCAGACATATCATAGAAATGAAGATACAGTACTATTACAGTAATGAATCAAAACACTAACGTTTAGCTTTCATAATTTCAGATACCTATGCTAAATCTTTTAAAGAATATTTATTAATAATGATAAATGAGACAAAAATTAACACTTTCGCGCTCTCCGCGAAGGTCAGGGAAACAACCGTAAGTGCTCACGGCGTTTTGCCGCGTAAGCGTAAAAACAAAAATGTGTATACTCTTTTTACTCTCATGACCTTAGTTCTCGAGCTACGTATTTCATTTTGGTACCAACGTGTTCGCAATAAAATTCTCTAGAAAAACATCAGTAAAAAAAGTCACGAAACGTATAGGGATACCAGCACCAAATAAATAACTACGAAGATGACTCGCCGTGAGCGCCCAACAGCAACAAAATGTTTTTACTCTTGGGATTGTTATCACCTACACACTTGTCCTACAGCGTTAATTTTGGTATCAATGGACTCGCAATGAAATTCCCAACACGGTGATATGAATATAAGCGTAGAATAATGATTGCGGCCCGCCCGCAAGAGTGTGGGAAGTGGTGAAATTGTTACCCGGTGTCGGTGACGGGACGACGCACGGCGCTTTGAAAGTTTATACTTATTTCATTCTCATGACATTATTATTCTATGTACGTCATTCATTTTTGTGTCAATGTGTTCACAATAGAATGTTCTATGAGCCCGTAGGTAAAAAAGATCAACAAAGCGTAAGATAGAATAGCGCCAAATATAAAACAACGCTGGAACATATCAGTGAGAATCAAACACACACGAAATGTTTTTACTTTTGTTATGTTTGTGAACCTTTCATGAACTTATTGTACCATGCAGCCTATTGGTGAGAAAGAGAGCCTCATGGCGCGCAGTTTGAAACAAACCCAAAGTAAATCGGATAAAAATTGAATTTTATACAAATATTTTAAAAGAGGACATAAGTTTATGTCCACTATGCGATGGCGTTAGGCGAAACAGGACTCCTCGGTGAGTCCGGTTAGCGCGAAAGTGTTAAGAAGCGAGAGAAGACTGTTAACATTTTAGTCCACCCCGCTCCTCACTGCGCGCCCGGTTTAAATCATCCAACCTTCTTGGGGTTGGATGAGCCAACTCAGCGAAATGTTTATATAAAATGTTTATACTTTTTTTAAGTTTCTAAGGTACTTTTTGGGGTTAGAATTATAAATTTTGCATCAAAATTTTCTGAAACAAATGCTCTAGATACTAGATTATAGATGAGAATGAAAATGGCACTCTACATGCATTACAGTTTTAGTGATGTCACTGAATATACATACATTTATAAACTTTTAACCATTCCCCATTATTGTATATTTTTGAAATATGAATACATATTATAAGTGATTGAGCTAGATACCTGTAAAAAGAATACAAATACAACAATACTCTACGTTCAGTCTTTTTTTTTGTCAGGTAGTTTGCAAAGTGACAAAAAAAAAAGGACAGGCAGAGCAAATATCATTTTGAATGATGGAATGGTTGGTTGAGGTCATCACTGGTTAGTCCACTCATAAACTCCACTTACGCTGTGCTTTTAAAAGATTTATCACGAAGGCGCAAATAGAACGGTTAGGGAATTAAATTTCAGAAATTCTGACATTGGGTAACACATTTAAGCTTCGTTGTACCAATTGTGCATAATTATTGATGATGCTAAAACATGTCATTGGAACACTAAAGTGCTAAAAATGAATGTGAACAAAAGTAATTATTGTGGTGGAAAGTGAAAGAAATATGGTGCATAAAATTTAGGGTGAATGGAGAATTGTTACAAGTAATTTATAAATTTTGAAAAGGAATTTGTTCATTGCAAAGTCCAGTATATGTGATTCAGGGAAGGAAAATGACTGGTGCAGTGCAAGCCCTGGTTAGAGAGAATAAGATAAGAAGAGATGCATTCAGAAGGCTATACAAAGTGATATTGCCAACTCCTATGTACAGTTCCATATAACTGTCCATCATTTTACTTGAAAAAGATTAATCTACATCTTCTAAGACTTCTTTTTTAACCCGTACTTTAGATTCTCAGATGCTTATATTAATTGTATCCAATCTTGCGATTTACATTATTCTAATTGATTAATTTCTCTTGTTGCAGTATCCCCAGATTATTTTACCAGCGGCACTAAAACCTCCAAACAACGACAACTCGAGTAGCAATAGTTTACCAAGTGTCATCAAAGTAGCATCAACACCACCCTCTCTCCCATCCTCGACTGTGGCCAGCGGGCTGACCTTATCACAAGTCCTCCACACACCAACCCACACTCCTACATCCACCCCAACGCCCTCATCAACTCCTCCAGCACCACCACCACCTCCTACGCCTCCAGAAGCAAATATCAGAATTCATTCCAAGTTGGAAGACATGAAAGGTATGGAATCATTTGTCTGTCATGATTCATTAAGAAGGTTTACCTCTCTTTTTTTTCTTAATTTCACAATAGAGTACTGTTGAATATTATTTTATGAATATAATTAAACAGGAAAGAGCTTTCCTAAAATTAGTAACATTGAAAGAGAGTATTTATAGACTTAATTGAGTAAAACATATTAATTTATGATTTTTAGAGACAACAAAAACAATTTTAGGAATAAAAGGATTGGAAATCTTAAAATTAATGTACTACCCTTCAAATATATTAAATAAAATTGTTATATAAAGTGTATTAAGTTCTCACATATGTATAAAATGTAATTAGAAAGTCATGTTCTGTACAAAGAATCATGAGATATAATATCATATCTTCAAAATTTGCTAGATATAAAATTTTAGAAGTTATGAGGAAATTTAATGAAAACATGCATTTTATTACAGTTTTCTTCCATATTCAGACATTAAATGTATCTTTTGTCATGTAAAGTCATTGTCATTCTTCACTTCTAGTGTCAGATCTGAAGGCGGAGCTGAAGAAACGAAACTTACCAGTGTCCGGTTCCAAACCACAGTTGATAGAAAGATTAAAGAGCCATGCTGCCCAGAATTCTGCTGCTATATTGACAAGTTTGAATTGTAATAACAGCATCAGTAATAATAGTAATGTGCTTAATTGTAATAATGTCTCTGTTACAATGAGACTCGGCAGCATAGAGAGAGAAACAGTTAATACACCTGCACCTTTGGATAATGAAGAAAAAACTTGTGCGACCCAAACAGAATCCACTGGCCCTAGCACTCTGTGTCTGGCTCACCTGCAGGAGCCTTCACCAACACCCACACCAACCAACTCTACATTCAACTATACAGATGACTCTTCAGGTAGGTTCTTTGAGATATTTTTTCATTTATATTTTCCATGAAAATGATTAATGTAAATATTGTTTCACCTTCAGTTGATTACTAATATTTTTAATTGCTATTTTTTGTCATTACAGTTCAAGGGTTATTGGAAGCATCAATGGATTTTGGAGATGACAGTGCATCATCACCTGCATACTCTCACATCTCGGCTTCATCCACACGTCCCCCAAGTGTGGCCCCAATGGACGTAGATTTCGACTCTGCAATGGACACCAATGACTTCAATCCTCTGACTCCAAGTGGTACCCTAACTCCTCTTAGTCTCCACATCAGTGATGGAGGCTCAATAAACACTCCACCTCCTCCTCCTCCGCCACCGCCACCACCACCTCCACCACCACCCACACAGAATGTCTCTGTTAACTCTAATATTCCTGTAGGCAATATACTGGTATCGGCTAATGGCCAGACACCCTGTCAATTAGTAATGATGCGTCATTCAACCTCACGAACCTCCAACAACTCAATTGTGTCTAATGAAACAATGGTGCAACTACAAAGAAGAATAGAGGACCTTCAGAGGGAGCTTCACCATACACAAATGCAGCTACAGTTACAACAACAACAAAACATCATCAAAGCCCAGGAGCAGCAACGTAAAAATATGTCTGATAACAAGCTAAACCAAAAACTTATACTACAGCAACACATTCATAACAAAAAACAGCAGCAACAACAACAACAGTTACAAAGTCACATCCAGCAGCTCCATCATTTGCAAACACTACAACAACAACAGCAACAATTGTTACAACAGCAAGTGGTACAACATGAACCTTTAAAAAGCAAAATTCATGAGAATGGCATTCAGCAATGTGGAGTTTTGCAGCAGCAGAAACATCAGCAGCACCATTTAGAACAACAATCAGAAGAACAGTCAGATCAGCAGCACCAGCAGCAGCACCACCACCACCAACAGCAGCAGCACCAACAGCAACAGCACCAACAGCAGCAGCACCAACAGCAGCAGCACCAGCAGCAGCAGCACAGTATTGGGGAAGTGAGAGTAAAATTGGAAAATGGGTGGGAGCAGCTGCTCAATTCCCCCAACCCTCACTCACATCAACAACCAAAGAGCCAGCGTTCAGGTTCTATATCCACACAAAATGGCCTCTCCATTAATGCTCATCAAAGGTCAGTATAATCATTTTAATAGGCTTTACTCATAGTTTAAAAATGATTTGTGGAAAACCCTTGATGTCCTTGCCATTTACATGAAGTAAATGAAATACCATTAGAATCCTGCTAGTGCAACCTATTTGTGAATACACAAATACACAAATTTGTATGTGTGTGTGTGTGTAATTACCTAAGTGTAGTTACAGGATGAGAGCTACGCTCGTGGTGTCCCGTCTTCCCAGCACTCTTTGTCATATAACGCTTTGAAACTACTGACGGTCTTGGCCTCCACCACCTTCTCCCCTAACTTGTTATACCAAGTGTGTGTGTGTGTGTGTGTGTGATGGTGTTGGGGCAGAGTTGGAACAATAGAAGGGAATATGTAGTAATGTGATACTACTATTAAGAAACAAATCGGAGTGAAGAGACTTGAACGGGTGTGATGTGTTGAATAAACTGTTCGTAGAAAAGGGATATTTCAGAAGATGATGTTAAATTTATTGCAAGTCTTTTTGCATTGGATGCACTTAATGGGAGAACTTTGGAAGGTGAATTGATGTAATTGCCTCACCTGAGAAATCAACTTGATATATGTGTGTGAACAGTTTCTTACAGGACAGGGCTCAGGTTCTGCAGACTGAGTTTATGACATGACATTGTCATTGATTATCTGCAGTGCATATGTCTTCAAACTCTCATTTTATAATTGCTAAACTATTACAATAGTTTAATCCTTGCGATCAGAGTTAATTCATTTCATTTTGTGCATTTTCTTAACACAGTATATATACTGTACTGTACATATATGCTGTACATAAATTATTACATTTAAATACTTTATCCAATCGGTATTTTACAACTCACAGTACTGTACAGTGTTATTAGATTTTGTTGCAGAATTCTTCAATATCAGATGATGGACTTGGTCATTAGCCAAGACATATACAATTTTACATGAGCCACCCTGCTAATGATTGTAGAAGACAACATGATAAACTGTCAAAAATATTCATTCCTTAATCTACATGTATTGTATTTTCAGAACTGCCTCGTTGCCAAATTTCTCCGGGCTCATTGTTACCAGCACATATGATAACGCCAACAACAATAATAACAATAATAATAATAATAATAACAATATCAATAGATCAACAATAGAGCCCCAGTTTGTTATCAAGCCGCCACCCAACTATGATGAAGCTACAAAACAGCTCAAGGAAACAATGGTAAGTTGTTACATCAAACCTAAATTTTTGTCCTCCCCCCCTCTGTTTGCTCTTGTGTTCCATGGGCCATGGAACACAAGATCCACGAACACAAGAACGTGGAATTCCAAGATCCATGGAGATGAGTGCGGGAGCTGAAATATGGGAAAGTTGCTGATGATTTTGAGGCACAGTCAGTTATAAGGTCATGTCATTGACAGGGATTTGATAAACCAGTCGAATGGTTTAAAATTTGACAAACTTTAATATTACTTTTTTTTTTTTATTATTGACCATATTGTCACTGTATAAGTGCCAATATTGACAATATTGTCCCTGTATAAGTGCCATCATCGACCATATTGTCCCTGTATAAGTGCCATTATTGACCATATTGTCCCTGTATAAGTGCCATTATTGACCATATTGTCCCTGTATAAGTGTCACTATTGGTCATGCTGTCTCTTATCATTCTTGGGACTTGTGCTGTAAACTGAAAAGATCTCAGTATGTATTATGCCCTCATGGTGAGTTAAATGGGTAATAATGACAGTAAGAAATACACCTGCAGAGAAAGTCTCAACACATGGCTGAAAATAAATTAAAATAGACGTATGTAAATTATTTATTTCAATTAGATTTTGGGGGATGATTAGATCACGGGACAAAGAAGACATTAGTCACTCTGAGAAACTTTTTGATTATGATGATTATTCTTTGTGGAAATTCTCATTTTTTGTTCAACTTTTCCATGGTTTCTATTTTGTTCAACTTTTCCACGGTTTCTAATGCATAATAAATGAACTCAAACACTGTAAATCCAACATCACTGAAGACACTCATTTAGTTTATATTTTTTTTCTCGTTTTGGCATCCTGAATGACATTTTGGCCTTTTTATTATTCTTAACATAGATGATGCTAGATGCTCTCTTTTGATAATTTCATAAAACTTCTAATCTGAAAGGGAAAGTAAATACTGTATTGTTGGATCTGAGGTTATTAAGTAATATAGTTCAGTTTTCCTATACTTATATTTTCTATACTTATTACTTTCCTATATATATAAATTGATGGCTTATTTTTACAAAAATGTACTGTATATCGTTTCAGATCTCAGCTAAATCTTCCCCACCAAATACAAATAGAAAGTTATCTGTCAAGAGTCAGGCAGTAGATGATGTTTTAGAAATATTAATTAAAAATGGAGGTAAGTTATGAAATAATTATTTATGTAACCGGAATAGATTTTAGAATGCAGAGTAATATATAATTACAGTACTAGAATATAGTTTTATAACTAGTGAAATAAATGCTTGCATCTATTTTCAAGCACTAATTGTGATACTGTATATATATTTCAGAGCTACCTCCTAGTGCTGCCCAGGATCCTCACACACCAACTCAAATAAGGTGTAATCGAAGTGGACCAATCTTCACTACCACATCAGTTACCTCTTCTGTCATCTACACCACCACATCAGCAAGCTCTCCTATTTTTACCACCACTTCTGGTGCACTGCCAATTATTTTTACCACCTCTGCTACTTCATTACCTGCAGTATACACAACTACAAATGTTGTACCAACTGCAGTTGAGGCTGCAGTCCCTCCACCGCCACCGCCACCTCCACCCCCACCACACCATTCTAGTCAACGCACCACTTCTGCTACGTCAACAACTCAAGGACCTGCAGTGTTAAGTGTTGCCAACTCCTGCCCCTCTCCAATAGTCACTAGTGGCTTAAATTCTCATTCACTTTTTGCTGACCTTGTGATGGAGGGCTCAAATCAACATGGTCTGGATCTTCCTTTAGACTTGGAGTTACCTGTGTTGGAAGGCATGGAACTGGGTGCCTTGGAGCACACACTAGACCACAGCAATATGACCCCTGATCTTCTTATCTCAAATAGACCTGAAGAGTCATTTGTCAGTATAGGTCCACCAATGGATGTTAAGATGGAAGTGAATGATGATGTTGATGTTGCATCATGGCTAGACTCTTTAGTTCCTCCAACTCACGGCCCAACACTTTCTTCGAGTACTACAAACTTCATCACGCCTTGGCCTCCATCCCACCTGATATCAGTTTCTGGTAATAACAGTGATAGTGGTATGAGCAATAATTATAATAGTGGCAGCAGCAGCTGCAGTAACAGAGGTAACCATAGTAGCTGCAGTACCAGCAGTGGAAGCAGTAGTGGTGGCAGAAGTGGTATAAGTGTTCACCAAAGTGATCCTCTGCTCTCTAATAATCAGGACCAACTGGACCTCTTTAACTTGGAGGAAATGGACCTCAAGGCCCACGATGTAACGTCAGGCCTATCATGGGACCGCATTGATTTTACTGCATGAGAGTGTAGTGTACCGGTCGTGTAGCCAGTCACCGTGTTACTGTCTGGTCAATGTATGTCCTACCGTGGGACCATTGACTGACAAGACTTAAGTCAAGGGACCATTAACCACAGTAGATTTCAACCTTGACTGATCAGAGTATTTAATAGTTGAAGTGCTACTGCATCATGAGTGACTGGCAGTACCCTACCTTGGCTACTGACACATACGTTAATGTCTGTGATGACAAATGAGTGCCTTACAAGTACTCTAACAAAGGACCATTGAATATTTAGTTGATATTTAGGTTGTGTTCAGCCAACTCCACACAATTCCCTGTTATTCCATTTTGACTACCTGTCATGTAGATCATGCTCACAATCATTATTAGAAGTCTTAAAAACTCAATAAATATGAAATCTTTCTTGAAAATTTTCAGTATCAAGTGGTATATATATGATATGTATTTGTAAATATTTCCTTATTGTAAAATGGTGCTGTTTTGAATATTTCAAGTTGTTTGAGTTTTCTCCGAGATATATTGCACTCATCAGCTAATTCTGAAATTAGGTCAGGTCTATCAGTATGTAATAAATGTATTATAAGTTTTGGGAACAAATCAACCCCTTCCATAAATTTTGCTGTGTGCTTGCCTTACAGTTGTGGATATTTGAAACTATGACTATTATATCTGGTTGAATTAATAGCTCTGTACATATTTTATGACTAGAATATGTGACTGAATGCAGACTCAGTCATCTCTGCTGTGATTATTAGCTATGTTTGGAGCAGCCAATTAAGATAACCCACTGAAGGCAGGCACACAGTGTAACCATTCCATGATGACCCCCAGCCCATGGCTGTGTCCTTGGCTCTCAGAGACCCCAGCTAGGAGCTGTGACCCTCGCTCACGGTGTGCAAGTCATTGCCTAACCTCGGCAAGTGGCAACCCTTGCCAGCTGTTGTGTGGCCCAGGCTCGTAGTGTTATAACCTATTAATTGGTAACCTGACTAGAGGAGTCGACTGCTATTTCTTGTAATTTGGGTTGAAGGGGTCAAAAGCCAGAGCTAATGACCTGATTAATTGTCCAAAACAAAGTTTTGCAATGTTGGTTATAGATCTTGTATGTCTGTTCTTGTGACTTTAGTCTCATGGTCTAAAGCCTGTGCTTGCAATACTTGACAAGTATGTAGTTTTGTCAGAAGCCTCGCCCCAAATATTCAAGACCAGTAGTTGACACCATGACATAAGATGTCCAAAGTCAGTATATGTGATTCCATATTAGGGTATTTAAAGCTATTGCCAGATGATAGATATGACCAGTAGCTTCAGTAACAAATCTGATTAGTGATTTTTTAGAGCAAAATATATTGCTTAGATATCACACTGAAATGTGTCACATCTGAAGTTCATGGAATATGTAGTCCAATTTTGACATCAAACAGTAGCTACACTCAAGATTTCCATCCTAACTCATACTGGTAGCATTAGCTAATGATTCCCCCAGATAATGGTCTCCCATGTCTGCTTTGTTAGTCCCTAGTACAAGGTAGCCTACACTCAAATCTGTAATACAAGTTCAACAACAATCCAGACAGATGGTGTCCTTAAGTCTATCTGTGATTTTGGACACTTATCATCAAAGCTTATGTAGTTATTTGGCCAGTTGTGTCCCAGAGCTATATATATTTGTTCAAGGTGACCCTGTGCCTCTTGTAACATACCATGTTGAGTACTGGCATCACAACAATGTATGGTTCGTACAAGTACCTATTTCTGCTCTTGTTTAAACCGATGACTGTATGTAAGTGGGCTTGAGTAGCCATGAAACACACTCGACCTGCATCCCTTGTCACGTTGATGTGTGTGGCCTCTTGGGTGCCTGGGTTATTTAACCCAATGTATTCATTTGGCTATGTAGGTGTCCAGTTCCTGCCTCCCTCAGCCCTGGCACACCTCAAAAATGTAGACATGGCCTCCTTTTTCACAAGGAATCTGAAGAATGTTCTTTCCCCTCACTACACATTGTATTGTTTTCAATAACTATTGCCAAAAAAATTTGTAAGCTTATCTGGTTCAATGTGCCAAGTTGCTCAGACAGTTAACCAACAGATTTTGGAATTGTCCACATCCATAAATTCTGGTTAACAGAGCCTGCACAAGAAACACTGTTGATCTGCACAACGAGGTGGACATACTAGCTATTCCTAAATTCTGTTAGTGGCCAAGACCAAGTGGTGTGCCTCAGGTTTATATTCCCAACATTTCTAGATTCCATCTTTAACAGATATTGTCTCGTTCCTTCTGTGTACTAATAAGGATAAATTATTGTAGGCGAGTCCTGTCCCTAGGTAGCTCTTGTACAGATTCCTTTGTTGCAAATTTTTGGGCATTCTTCAATTGCATTAAATTCAGCCTCATCTTGCTTGCCGTGTCAGGAAATTGAACATAAAATGCTTAGCACGAATTTTATACAACAAAATTTGTAAGCTTCAGAGCGATTTCTGGGTTTAATGTGGATGACAAATTGGAGTACCAATTGAACTGTTTGCCTCTGCTCAATGTTCAACACTTAAAGCTCTGTCAGGGCCTAGTTATTGTGCCAAACCAGTAGCAATTACCACAGTTAGCAACATTCCACTATTGCACTGGGAATGATGGCTGCAGCATTGATTGAATAATAATTAGTAGTTACAGAGAAAGTTAATTTTTTTTTAATAATTGAGACATTACCAGTAATGGTCTAAGTATCATGAACTATCTACATACTTTACTTAAGTATATAAACCATTGTATGTGATACCTGATTGTGGTGTAAGTGCATTTTATGTTTTTGTTTTGGTTCTTATAATTCATTTATCATCTTTGTTTTTATTTGGGCATAGAGATTATCCAAATTTACTGGGTTTTGCATTCATTAATTTAACCAATGAAGTGTTTAATGTGTCATTTATGATGGAAAGAGAAACATAAACAATTTATGTTGATATTCATCACCTGGTGAGGCATATTTCGAATATGACTTGGGAATTGATCTGTTACCTCATTGTTTGACTTCGGTTACCCATACAGTAAAGTGATGTGTTACTATATGCAAAGTAAAAAGATTCATCTGGCTACTGGCTGTTCTTATCTTTTGCTTTGGTCACGTGCCAGCACAACTTGTTGGCCTTCATATTTTTAGTTTTGCATATTCTATTTTTGTCATATTTGGACCATTCATTGTTTCAATTCATTTATATTGCAATCCTTGTTACTTGTGCCTTGATCCTTATTACAGTACATGTGCATCTTCAATCTGAATATATCCATTCTTCTGTGTTTTTATCATTTGTATATTTTTACTGAATCAACTCCTTTCATTCAGATTTTATTATTGCTGACATGTGGCCACTGCACTTTCACAATTGAAGAAAAATGGAGATACTATAGTGATATGTCATGTTATGTTTAAGTCTCCAGCATTGCAGGTACAGATGTAATCATGGATGGATTCAGCTAGCAACTGTCCAACTTCATTGTTCCAAAAGGTGTACATTATAATAACAGTGAGGAATTTAAGTTAGAAGTCAATAAGGTGAGGATATGGACATAACTTGCATAGTACATGCGATTATACAGAGTACGATTAATTTGTTAAGAGTAGATTTTCATTAGGCGAGTTGCAAAAAAACAATTAAAAGTACAATTTTGTACTTTTGGTGAATCAATTTTTGGTGAATCAATCAATCAATTTGGTGAATCAAATGTTAGCAATGCTCCATGTGTAAAGGGAAGGCAGGTCATTGATAAGAAATCAGGTTTTCTTTCTTTATTTAGCGAGTTGGCTTTGTGATCAGTTCACTAAAAGACCTGTATGAAAGTGCATTTTTAAGGCACTACAATTTTTAACAGTTGCAATACTTCATTGATCATGTTACTTAAACGATTAAGGAGAAAATTTCCAAACTTCATAATTTATATGACTCTACTTGAGACTGTGATCATGCTGCAGCCTTTGTGTTGGTGAACAGTGTCAAATTGGCACTCAGTTTTTGTCATATTAAAAGCTTTGCCTTGTATATCGGTACATTACAAAATTCTATGGATCGTATTTGTCAGGTGGACTAAATAAATAAATGGCACTTGGTATGCTGTTCTTCTTTCACCTGTTGAGACTGACATTTATGGTATTTTATACTAGACAGGTGATAATATACAGTAGACTTTATTGAACCCGTTTTTCAAATCTTTGGTGTTTGTGTGAAACACCATGCCCAGTATAATCCACCCACTACTTTTGCAATGCAATGACCCACACGAATGTCTGTATCAAATGTTCGCACACTTTCAAAATACACTGTGACTGCTAAAATCTTGACATTATATAATGAGTTCACTATACATTTACGTAATAGGCCAATTTTCTTACTGGACTGCCCATACAAATTTATTATGGAGATTTTTATTCGCTGACGTTCATGGTGATCTCCAGATTATCACCACAAATGTATAGAAATTCTAATACAATATATTCTTCCTTACTTTTGCTATTTGTTAGTACAGTAATTATTATTTTCAAAACTATTTTAATGCTTTATGGAATAATAAATAATAATTACAAATATAAATTGTTAATGTTACATCTATTTATAACTAATGTTACTGTATATAAATTGTGCAATGTAATTAATTCATTTATATAATATTTTCTATGGCTAGCCAAGGGCTTCTACAACCGGACACTTTTATCTCTGTTTTGGCTGTGTTTACTCAGTGATTTTGATACATTTTTTTTCCCTTGATACCTAATTTGTGAGTGGAGATGTTTCTCAGTAAGAGTGATCAGGGGAGAAAGAAGAGGCATCTTAAAATGATTGGGAAGGTTATATAAATATAGAAAAGTGATCTTAGCTTGGTAGTTAAGATACAAGCAGATTACATTAGTGTTGGCACCTGGATATTTACTGATCCAAATTAAGCCATGGAAGGTAGCCGTGGCGGCTCGTGGCGCCAATAAATCATATGTTATCATACAGCGTGAAACCTCTATTTTTGTCTCATTTTAATTAAATTTTTTAAAATTCAGTTATAAATATATTGAAAATGATATAGACATTTTGTTATAACACATTTGTTAGTTGCTTATTATTCAAGTGTGAGGCTAATGGAGACACTCACATCTCACTCACATCAGAGAAAAATTTTCAGGGCTCAAATATTAATGTGTTTGATTATGTGGTTTACAAGCATGATACTCTATTTTTTTCTACAAGACTGATGTCTTCAGTGAGGTAAGTAAAAGATTAACTTTTTACACTTTTTAATATAATACAAGTAATGTTGTTTTAATTTATTTTTAAGATGTTATTTGGCTGTTAGCTAGTTATCATCTCTATGCAATACTATATTGTATAAAATGTGTTGTGGATTAAATTGTATCATTCGCTTACCGGTAAGTCTATTATGTGCACTGAATAACCTTGAGACTCCAGCACTGGCCCTCTGGTTCAAATTGTATTATAATATTAGTTTAGCTACGAGTTGTACAATATCACATTGATTATATTATAAACAACTGCCCAGTTGGTTGCGAGCCAAACTGTACTATTAATATCAGCTGCTTGTACAAACTTTGATAGTATTGCAAGGAACATGTAATAGAAGAAGCATACTTAATGAACGAGATATATTAGAAAATGCATCGTTACACGATAGGTGGCTAGGTATTATGGGAAGAAAGAGCTAAGCCCGTATGACTAATTAGCATTTGGAAGGAATATGAAGACAAGGATAGAAAGGGGGGGGGGAGGAATGGTAACCAACCACTCGGACACTCTGGGGATCAAACGCCATCCTGCATGAAGTGAGGCCTTCACTCTACCCACTAATCCAAGTTGTTGGACTTTATCGTTTCACAAGATATTCAGTGATACTTTTGTAAGCCTACTGCATATTCTAAAGTTTACCTTGGTAGGCCTAATGTATGTTCTGAAGTGTCTTGGTAGGCCTAATATGTTCTGGTGTACATTGATAGGCCTAATATGTTCTGGTGTACATTGGTAGGCCTAATATGTTCTGAAGTGTACATTGTAGGCCTATTGTATGTTCTAAAATATACCTTGGTACTGTGTGTGCGTGTTCTGAAGTGTATTTTGGTAGGCTTTTGAAGTGCACCTTGGCAGACCTACTGTATGTTCTCAAGTGTATCATGATAGGCTATTATATACTGAATATGTTTTGCTGGTCGTAAAATAGGAAGAATCCACACTAGTGCAGTGTTATTGCACGTGTGGTCAGATTGTGTCCTGAGTTAAGGTCATTAACGCAGTAAGAGACACAGTTTTTTATCTACAAGTATATATTAACCCTAACCAAGTAGTAAAGACCGCTCTCATAGTAGACACCTTACACATCCGTATTAATAATAACACGCCGGCTGCACACGTAACTGCACAGTTATTTCTGATAAAGTTTTAAGTATGGGTATGATGCTATTTAGAGAGAGACCTCTCGAGCCTTATGGAGACAGTAGGCTGGTATTTTGGCTTGCTTGGGCTGACTGGCCACACGTGTGCGGTCGTTATGAAACACTTGAAGAAAAACTTGCACTGCCTTAGGCAATGAAGAATCATCTCTCGTGAAATGTGGTAATGGAGGGAGAGGGTGGAGTGGTTTTAGGTAGAGACGCCCTGGATAGCGGGGAGCGGTCATAGATCTGCCTCTACGTGTACAACATAACAGGCTGCTGCTCATTATAACATATAGTCTGCCCCTATCAGTTCCTTGCATAGTCATAACAGCCCACTGTATTGGCAGTTTTGAGCCTGTCCTTAATCTATATATATATATATATATATATATATATAAAACAATCTCCGTGGTAGAGTAGGTACTATATATATAGTACCACTATATAGAGTGGTAGAGTAGGTTGTTGTTGTTGTTGTTATAGATTAAGCTACTCGGAACAGGTTCCAAGTAGCACGGGCTATGATGAGCCCCTAGTAGACTTACTTGGCACAGGAGCGGTGCTGGACCCAGGTATAGTAGGTACTATATATATAAAACAATCTCCGATACAGTCTCAGTGGTGCAGTGGTAAGACACTCGCCTGGGTCTTACCACTACCGCCTACAAGATGGCTATGGGGTGCATAATAAATGAACTAAACTAACTTTGTTATGGTTGAGGATCCATAAATGCAATTTCTAAAGTGGGAGGCTTGTCTAATTCTCAGCTTGACCTGACCTGGATTTTGTCATTATTATTGAGAAAACAGGGTTAGAGATGTGTTAAACATATACTTCAAGGGTTTATTGAACAATCAACCACAGAAGGTGATTCAGTGCTTTTAAAATGCTAAGCTAACCTACATGCGTAAATACATAGATACACAGATTTATGTTTGCCCTACATGAAAGTTGATAGATCACGTAAATTTTATATACGTGATCCACGTAAAGGTTGATTAAATTTTACTTAAATATTATTACTATTATTAATAATGATAATGATAATGATAATAGCAGTACCCATATAACTATTATTATTATGTTTGTCGCCACAACTACCAGACAGTGGTTAAACAAATACGTCAACAATGACAGTATAGGTACAACAAGCCTAAGCTGTGACTGGGAAGCACTAGCAGTGTTCTCCCTGGCTCCAGAGGTGAAGGTGCACGGCTCATGTTCCTTGTTCTTCCTTACTCGACTACCCTACTCTTCCCTATCACCTTAGTCTGATTTGTTTGTGTAGCTGAAGTTGTGATTTGTTTGTGTAGCTGAAGTTGTGATTTCTTTGTGTAGCTGAAGTTGTGATTTCTTTGTGTAGCTGAAGCTGCGATTTCTTTATGTAGCTGAAGTTGTGATTTCTTTGTGTAGCTGAAGCTGTGATTTCTTTATGTAGCTGAAGCTGTGATTTCTTTATGTAGCTGAAGCTGTGATTTCTTTGTACTCACCTAATTGTGCTTGCGGGGGATGAGCTCTGGCTCTTTGGTCCCGCCTCTCAACCGTCAATCAACTGGTGTACAGGTTCCTGAGCCTACTGGGCTCTTATCATATCTACATTTAAAACTGCATGGAGTCAGCCTCCACCACATCACTGCCTAACGCATTCCATTTGTTAACTGTATAACTTTACCATCTGTGTGTGTGTGTTTGAAAAAATAATAAAATTGAAAGATCGTGTGTAGTGATGATGATGGTTACAATGAAGATGTTAAAGTGATGATGAGGTTATTAGTAAAGATAGTGTGTAGTAAAGATGCTTCATCATCCGAGCAACGCTGGGTTTCTAAGCTAAAATAAGAACAAACGCAATATTTAATTGATATAACAAATTCACCTTTAAACGTAAGTTGCCAAAGCCATGATAGATTTATGGGTTAAGTATTTAAATATAAGCAAAAACTAAGGCCCGTGGGCGTACCTTTTTAAATTAAGATTATCGCACAGTCATGTACGTTCAGTTGCCATGGTTACAGTTTTCTATATTAATTGAAATTGAAATTGAAATAAGTTTATTGAGGTAAAATACACACAAAGGGATGAGGTAGCTGAAGCTATTCTCACCCCGTTCAGTACATCGTGTTAATACATACATAGACACACATCACAAGCAATAAACACATTACCGAACATTCTGAGAGATAAACATATACATTTCCTCCTTTACACAAGTATTCTATATTAAAATTCCAGAGTTTTCCCTTGAAAGGTGATGCAGATGCGTGGCGTTTTGAGTTGTTTTGAACATTCCTGCCCACTTAGATCACTCAAGAAGTTAATTTAAATAAAAGATCCTAATAAGGGAATGGGGTCCCAGCGAACTTTTCTTGGCCGTCTATTAGAGTGATGTCACGTGATCAGTGACGTCATGTGATGGCCTCGGGTTGATTGTCTGAGAATTTGTTCGCTTAATAATCGTAATTCATCAATGAATTGATTATTAAACATATATGATGTCATGAACAATTACACGCATCACATATCTGTTATGACTGACAGTGTTGTGTACCAAAGCTAATTAATAAAACAAGTGAAATTTTATAAAAATAGTCGATGCTATGATCAACAGAAATGTTTTTTATGAATGTTTAAATTATTTGTTCGATAAATACACATTTACAGAATGCGCTAAGTATGG